CTGCAGGGGTGCCGGACGGGACCGTCTCCGCTGGAGCGCCTGCAATCAGAAAGGCCGTCGGCACGGTCGCTCGGCCCCGCCACACGGCCCAGTGGCCAGACGGCCACCGAAAACAGGGTTATTGAGGCTCAGCCAAGCAACAGACGACCGAATCCCTCTGCTTTCTGCAAAACTGCGCACGACGGCCGGGCTCGAGGGAGAGGCGGGCCGAAGGGTGACGAGGAGAAACCTAGGCAGCCTTGTCGTCGGAGCCCAACTCCGAAAAGAACCGGGGACCTCGGGGGACAGCTCGGGCAGCCCGCGGTGTCAAAAAGACACCCGAGTGACAGGGTGGGGTCCTGCTGGCTGGCGCCGAGACCCCGCCCCCCAGGATGGCAGCGGAGATCTGAGTGTCACCGGAGGAAGCGAAACCTGCCACGTGCTGAGCGCCTCCCTTGGGCGCAGCTCTCTGGGGACAGGTCCCCGGTGCAGGTGGCTGCTTCTAAGTGCCTTAAAACAGAGCTGGGCGGGCTCCCGCCCGTGCAGCTGCTGAGCTCGGGGTCCCAGAGGGAGGTGACAAGTCTCCTTTCGCTGCGTGGACTCCTCCGGCCAGGAAGCTCAGGGAGGTTTAGAGCCACAGAGGATCCACGTCCCTCCCTCACGTCCCGCCCGTACGTGAGCCGATCGGCGCAGAGTGCAGTGTGGTGGCCGCAGAGACCGCACACCGGGCTTGGTTAAGACTTGTCATTGCCAAGCTGCGAAGCACTGGTCTCCCCCGCTCCCCGGGCCTCACACCCAGAATTCCAGCTCGAGTAACCAGTGTGTGCAAATTGGGTGCCACGGGACAGCGAGCACGGGGCTGGCTGTCAGGGCAAACGCGACAAGTCTACGAGTCAGCCCGCACCGTGCACAAGTTTGGTTAAGCTTGTGATCACCGTCACGTGACGTCACGGTCATCAGTTCAGGGAAAACTTGACTTTGTTTGCAGTCAGGTCCTTGGGGTTTTGGCAGGGGACACAGGGCGGGCCTGTTCTGAAAACGACCTTGATGTCCGCAGGCAAGAACCCTCCGGTCACATCCTCAGGGTCACACGCCCCTCCCCCCCATCAGAACTGAAAAGGCACCTTCCGAAATTTGGAGTCTGGGTTCTCAGCTCTGTCTTCAAAAGACACTAACGCCCCACATTTAATAAACTGGAAGAAAAGGAACAATGTGCACCGCCTCTTCCGCTCTGAGTCCCAGGGCAGGGGCCCCGCAGGACAAGGCAAAGCATAGGGGGCTCTGCGTCCTCTACAAAACGTGCAGACACAGAACCGGCCTCTGCGAAGGCTCGTCAGCCTTCTTCCTCCTCATCCCCTTCTGCTCCCTTCCCACAGGAGACCCTCCCCCGATGCTGCTCCGAGGGCCCCCCGCCCCCTCCCCAAATTCCCTACCTTCCTGCTTCATTTGAAAATGTCCCTTGTGTAAACTCATCTCCGAGGTGGCTTGGGGGGGCATTTACCAGTTTAGTGAGGTGAATTCATCCTAACAGGTTTTTAGTGTGAGACAGAGACTCCCTCGCTTAGGACAAAGCGACACGCAGCCCCCACGGACCAGCGCTCTCCAGGTATTTCGCAGTGCTGGCCCAGCCACGGTTTCTGAATCTGCCCATGTGCCAGAAGCGCCAAATCTTTTTGGCTGCGGTTTCCATGGCAACCAGAACGGGCGGGATGAGGCGGGCGGTGAGGACAGCTCTGTGCCCAGCTGATTGGAGTGTGTGGATTGCCCGGGATAACTTTTTTATGCCAAGGCAACAATTTTACTACTTAGAAATCATAACGATCCTACTGGACGCGCTTGACGCCCCTGCTGGGTTCGGACTCAACGCGCAGCCGCCTCGTGGGGTCCACGGCCGGCCGCTCACGCCCTCCGCTGACGGGCGCTCGGGTCGCTAAATTTACCTACGTGGCTGTGGGGCTTCGTAACCTGGCAAACGTGCCTGTATTTTGGGATTGGAAAAAAAAAAGGGGCCTTCATTTCCCTTTTCTCCTTCTTTCAAAAAGCAAATTAGTTGTGGCCGTAATTTCTCCGTGATGATGGGGTCAGCTATTGTTCACTGCTGGGTTTATAGGAAGGAGGCCTTCAAGTGAAGGACCATGTACACTATTCTTCATTCCTAGCAAAATGGCGTTTTTCCTGCACAATGATACTCGCCCTGATCAAAAGAAACGCGCAGAGGACCTCGAAGAACTGTTTCCTCCTGAACGGAGTTTTTCTGTTTTCTCCTAATTCCCGTATTTTTTTGTTGTTGTTGTTTTTTTAGCCCGTGTCCCCTGTCACAAGGACCTCTGCTACGTGGCCGCACAGACTAAGGGGACCCCGGGCGCAGGACATTTCGAATCCATCGCACGAACAGGCTCGGATGCCCCGCGCCAGTCCCGAGCACGGACAGCCGTCCCGCGCCTCTGAGCTCGCGGAAGCCTAAAGCGTTTGCAAACCTGGTGTCTCCTTCCCGCGCGGTGCGGGGGTGAGTGAGGGAAGGGGAGCCTGGCCGCCGGGAGTCTGAGGGTCAAGTCCGGCAGCGGGTGTCTGCGAGTCTGCGTGCGTGGGGAGGTGAGGCGGCAAGGTTGGAGTCACACCTGCGGCGAGAAAGCGAGATGGGCCCATCAATACCTTCCCACTGCAGCTGGAAAACGCAGATCCGAGGAGGTCACAAGGGACGAAGTTCTGTGACCGTTTACCAGACTCCGAGATGACCCTATCTATTCCGACGCTTACTTCTGCCTGGCAGGAGGCGGCTCCCTGGGCTGGACGCAGCCACACGTGTGTCCAGGCGGCCTCTGGGCCGTGAGTCGCTGTGAGCTTTTTGAATTCTCCATCGACGTGACAAACGGAAAGTGGGGACATCTTTTGAAGGCCGAATACGAAAAGAACCCCTCGAACTCAAAAGTCTCTTTACAGCACAAAGGAAAGAAGAAATAGCAAAATGGACCCAAGGGGAACAGATACTGTTCTGACCGACGCGTGTGCGCACGGGCATTCGGAAAATTTTTCATGTGGAAATCAAAATGAAATATTTTTAACTGTCAAGAGATTGATAATATCTAGGGTCAGAAAAGATGTGTGGAAACAGTTGCACTCTCGTGCACAGACACTCACAGAATTACGGGCCCGGAGTGTGGAGGGCACACCGCCACGCTTAACGTGCGTCTTTAGGGAGTGGGATTTGGGGAGTGAGTATTTCATTGTGTGTGTATGCGTGTGCATGCATGTGCATGTGTTCACGCGTGCGTGCATGTGCACATGTGTGCATGTGTGTGTACGTGCGTGCATGTGCGCGAGCACACATGTGTGTGCAGGTGTGTGCATGCATGCGTATGTGCATGCATGTGAGTGCATGTGCGCACACGTGTGCATGTGCACGCACGCGCACGTGTGTGTGTGTGTGAAGGGAGATGTGGAAATCTCAACGAAGACCTCTGTGTGACGTTGCCGCCCATCAGG